CCCCCCTCTCCCCCCCCCGCACAGCTCGGCAAGTTCACAGGCCTCAGGACCGCCCTGATCCTGGGCGGGGACAAGTAAGAGCCCCCTTGCCCCATGCCACGGGGAATCGACTGAGCCTGGGCGGCTTAGGAACAGCGGTGCTGCTCTGCGCACCCCAAAGAGAAGGGGAAACATGCAGTAATGCAGTAAAATGCCACAGGACTTTCCCACACGACTGCCGATGGGTTCGGGTGCTCCTAGGGGAGCTGGTGGTGCACAGGGTCAGCGCTCAGGCAGCACGGTTATACCTGTTTCAATACATACCCCTAACAGTGAGCTGTCGCACAGAAATCAAGGAGTAAAGTTTGTGATAGCTCAGATGTGAAAAATGTAGGGTTTCCTGCTGTACTGGTCCCGTCTTTGGGGTGGCAGGCACCATACCTATTCCCCAGATGAGCAGACGGAGCACGTGATGGGCCCAGAGCTGCGCGTCGAGTTGGTGGTCGAGCTAAGACTGGAACCCAGTCTCCTGCCCTGTCCCACAGGCTTCTCCCTCCCAGGGCAGCCCCTTCCTTCTTGTTCTCTCGGAATGTCACTGTGACCGGTCACTTTGGATTCTGAGAAGAATGTTTGGCTTTTAAGTGTTCCGTTGCCTGCATTGTAATTTGTTGTCTCTGGAGCCCATGACTGTCTGAAATGCCTCCCGGGGCTAGGCCAGACTCAAAATCCTGGCTCCCGTGGGCGTCCCAAGGGGGTTTCAGAGGAGGACCGGAGTCAGGGCCGTGTGCCCGGGCGTTTAAGAACAAGGACAGAGAGATCCAGGCCGCCTGGGATCTTGGGGGGCTGGTGGTCCTGGGGTTAGTTGGTAGGTGGCACTAGAAGCAGGGGCGGGGTGGGGGCAGTTCCAGGGCTGAACCCATCTCTGGGGAAGTCTTCGTGGTATCAGTCCTTCTATGTCTGAACTCGTGTCTTGTCAGGGCAGCGCCTTTGCCCAGAAGCTCGGCAATCGCCTTTCCCTACTTCGGAGCCTGGGGGCGGGGTGTGGGCCTCACCTGGCCACCTGGTTCTGGAGAGGGAGAGGGACTAAAGTGGCCTGTGTGTCGAGCTGACACCTCCTCTTCCCCCTAGGATGGAAGACCAGTTTGCTGCCCTGCATGAAAATCCCGACATGTGAGTTTGGGCTGAGGACGGCGGCTTGGGGTCTCTTCCCCGACGGCCAGCTCCTGGGAAGTGTGAGGAGGGCTCTGCCGGGGCCCCCGGGTGACCTGGCCTGCACATCCCTTACAGAATCATTGCTACCCCTGGGCGCTTGGTGCACGTGGCTGTGGAGATGAACCTGAAGTTGCAGAGTGTGGAGTACGTGGTGTTCGATGAGGCAGACAGGTAAGACCACACGCACTCCCCTGTGCACCTGCACCAAGGTTGGCCCTGAGACCTGGAAGAAGGACTTGGCCAGGAGAGACCTGCGTGGCCGCGCTCGAAGCAGTGTTTCCCCCAGCGTGGGCCACAGACCTGAGGCAGCACCGGGGCTCACAGCTGCCTGCACCAACAGTTTTTATTTTGTGTTTGTATATTGTATTTCTTCCTTTTAGGGCTATGGGAGGAAACAGTAAAACAACAAACACATGATTTCAAAGACATACAAAGTAGCACAAAGCTGGGAGCACCAGACTGGAGCCAGACAAGGGTGGGATCACAACCCAGCTCTGTGAACTTGGGCAAATCTGAGGGCTTGTGGCCCTTGGTGGGCTCATCCACAGACAGGGGACTCACTAGCCCCTACTGGCAGGTGCTGGGAGAGTCAGTGCTTAGAAAGCCCTCAAACCGTGCCTGGCACAGAGGGAGGGCTTCAGCATGACACGGAGCCGCGTAACTGAGAACAGACTCAAGGTTTTTAGGTCATCACTGCTGGGCATGTGGTGGTCACACAGAGAAAAAGTGAGGTAAAGAACCACGTGGGACACATACCAGTCCACGTGGCAGAGAGTGTGCGGGGGGGGCGAGGGCCACGGGTTTGGAACTCGCTGGAGAAGCCCCTCTCCCGACCCCCACCCTCTGTCCCCCAGGCTCTTTGAGATGGGCTTTGCCGAGCAGCTGCAGGAAATCATTGGCCGCCTCCCTGGGGGCCACCAGACCGTTCTGTTCTCTGCCACGCTGCCCAAACTGCTGGTGGAGTTTGCCCGCGCGGGTGAGTGAGCCGGGGTGCGACTAGGGGCCTGGGGGGCTCGTCCTTCCGTGACTACCCACCTCCGCCCCCCTCCCCCCAACACCTTCCCTGTGCCAACCGCAGGCCTCACGGAGCCCGTGCTCATCCGGCTCGATGTAGACGCCAAGCTCAACGAGCAGCTCAAGGTGAGGCTCCCCCCGTGCCCATTCCCGAGCCTGCAGCCACGGCCCTGTGAGCCCACCGTGGCCCCTCTCCCCACAGACCTCCTTCTTCCTTGTGCGCGAGGACACCAAGGCTGCCGTGCTGCTTCACCTGCTGCGCACCGTGGTGCGGCCCCAGGACCAAACGGTGGTGTTTGTGGCTACGAAGCACCACGCCGAGTACATCAGTGAGGTAGGGGGCGCCCTGAGGGAGACAGCTTGGGGAAGTCGCCGCTGGGCCAGCCTCCTGGGGACCACCACCTCCTTTGCGGCAAGCTTGGAGCTGCGGCTCCGGGTGCGGCCACCAGAGGGCAGTACCAGAGCTGGACACAGGCCTGGCCAGGGCCGGTCCTCTTTTATTCTTTAACTTTTTATCATAAGGAATTCCAGGGGCACCTGGGTGGCTCAGTCAGCTAAGCGTCTGCCTTCGGCTCAGGTCATGATCCCAGGGTCCTGGGATCGAGCCCCGGGGCAGGCTCCCTGCTCAGCATGCTGCTCCCTCTCCCTCTGCCCCTCCCCCTGCTCATGCTCTCTCTCTCTCTCTCGCTCTCTCTCGGGTGCGCGCGCCCCCTCAGATAGTTAATAAAATCTTAAAAAAAAAAAAAGAATTCTAAATACACACTAACGTCAGCAGACAGCATCACGAACTCCCAAGTACTCAGTTATCAACTCACTCCTAGTCTCGATTCCTCTGATATTCCCCTACGTCCAGGTTATTTAGAAGTACCTCCCCTGCCCCCAATCCTGCCATTTTCTGTAGATTTTCAGTGTCCCGTGTATCTCACGTTTTAAAATGGAGGCGTGCCCTGCAAGCTGGAAGCTGGGTAAAGTGTCCTAAGCTTCCGGGAGCAGCGTGGTGGAGTTTTTCCATACGCATATGCCTGGGACCCTCAGCATGGGGCAGTCCGGGTGTCCCAGAGGCTGCCAGGGCCCTTTGCCAGTCGTTGCCGCCTGCCCCAGAGCAGCCACACCTGGGGTCTGTTATCTGAGGATGCAGTTCACTGGGTTTCCTGTGGTTGTTGTGCATTTAACGGTGCTTCCTTGTGCAGCTGCTGGGATCACTGATGAATAAAACCAAAATAGTAATTTTTAAAGAGCAGTTAACACTGTCACGGAACTTCTAATGTCCGAGGCCCGGGGCGCCTGGGTGGCTCAGATGGTTAAGTGTCTGCCTTCGGCTCAGGTCATGATCCCAGGGTCCTGGGATCGAGTCCCGCATTGGGCTCCCTGCTCCACAGGGAGCCTGCTTCTCCCTCTGTCTCTCTCTCTGTCTCTCTCTCTCTCTCTCTCTCTCTCTCTCTCTCTGACTCTCATGAATAAATAAATAAAACATTAAAAAAAAATTCTACTGTCCGAGGCCCTGTGCTCAGCTCTGTATACATATTAACTCATTCAGTCCTCGTCATAAAGCCACAAAGAAGGAGCTATTAGTCTCCTCCGCGCTACAGACGAGGAAAGCAAAGGCACCGAGAGGTTAGGTAACTTGCTCAAGGTCACGCGGCCCGTTAGTGGCAGAGGCAGGATAAGGTTGGTGTCCCTACGGGAGACCTCTGCATTGATACTCCTCCAGCCCCGCAGAGAGGTGGGAGGTGATAGAGACCTCATTCGTACCGACGAAGCTACCACACCACAGCTACCCCTCAGAGCTAGGATTCAGACCGGAAGTGCCCCCCACTCTAGAACCTTCGGTCTTCCCACCACATCCTGGCACCCCCGCCGTCTGTGTCCTGGCTTTCTCTCCCGTCCCCTGCCAGCCCTCTTACCCCTTTCCCTCCCTCTTGTCTTCACTCTGAGCAGCTGCTGACGACGCAGGGGGTGAGCTGCGCCCACATCTACAGTGCCCTGGACCAGACAGCCCGCAAGATCAACCTCGCCAAGTTCACCCACGGCAAGTGCTCCGCCCTCATCGTGACCGACCTGGCAGCCCGCGGCCTAGACATCCCGCTCCTCGACAGCGTCATCAACTACAGCTTCCCTGCCAAGGGCAAGCTCTTCCTGCACCGCGTGGGTGAGGAGCCCGGGGCTGGAGCTGGCCCAGGGTGGGAGCTGAGGGTGCAGGGTCCGGTGCTCCAGGCGGAGACGTCGAGGCCTGGGGAAGGGCCCCATAAGGTCGAGTCTCTGGGGGATGTGGCCCAGGCATGACTCACATGGCTCTGAGCAGCTCTGGAGCTCTTCTGGGTTCTCTCTCCCTTTCCTGTCCTGGGGCCCGAGGACATGTCCCCTGACCCCCCTTCCTCCTCACAGACCTCTCCCTGAAACTCTTGTCTTTTTAGTTCCTTTCCTTTAAACCTTTGCAAGATTGAACTAACACATGGACCCCTCTGCCTCCTGTTCGTCCAGGGCAGACAGGAAGGAGCGCCTGACTTAGTCGAGTCAGCACGTGGGGCCCACCTTCCTCTCTGCCCTCCCAGGCCAAGGACTCTGTCATTTTTGGGGGATAAAAGTAAGGCACGCACATAGTAGGGAAACTGGAAAATGAAGCAAAGCACATAGGCAGTAAGCCACGCGCCTGTCATTGGTGAAATGACAGCAACTGGTGTGTCGTCCCCCCGCCCCCCGCCCCCAGTGCTCCTCTTGGGCCTGGGTGAGAGCATTTTACTGGCTGTTTCCATCTTTACAACCATTCTATGTAGTGGGTGCCAGCATCATCAGCCCATTTTGTAGATGAAGAAACTGAGGCCAAGGAGGTTCATAACTGGCCGGGGGTCATACAGGTAGCAAAGTGGGACAGCTGGGGTTGGAACCCCCTCTTCACCACTATCCCTCCTTGCCTCCCTGGTGGCACGGCTATCATTTTAGTGTGGCTCTTGTCACTGCTGCCTTTTTAAAAATCATGGTAAAAAGTATACGTAACGCACAATTACCATTTTAATTGTTTTTAGGTATAAGTTCAGAGACAGTAAGTACATTCATAGGGTTGTGTAGCCATTACCACTGTCCACCTCCAGAACCTTCTCATCTTTCCAAACTGAAACTCTGTCCTTGTTAACCCTAATTCCCTGGCCTCCCTCCCCCAACCCTAGGCAACCACCATTCTATTCTCTTTGCTTTTTTTTTTTTTAACTCATAACTATGTGCTTCATTTGTAAATACAAATAAGCTAAATGCGCGTCCATGAGAATAGAATCTGGCGGGCAGGTTCCATATGATTGAACATTGTTGAATAAGTAAATTCTGGCAGCCCATGCTGGGCCCCGGGAGAATTGCTTCCACCTTCAGTCGGGGCATGTGGGAGGCCTCCATCTGGGTCCCGGGCTGCGGGTCTGGGGGCCTTGGCTCCCTGTTGGTTGCCCTTGCCATGTCCATATGGCTCTGGGAAGAGCTGGCTTGTGGGTTTCTCGAGGGGTCCACAGACCCCCCCCCCCCCCAAAGGGAGTTTCTCATGTGCTCTGTGACCCACAGTGTGAGTCAGACCACCCCAAACGAATCTTGCAAATGTGGTGACACTTTGTTGTTGCAAATGCAGAAACAAGCCAAAGGTAACGTTACACTTGGATTCCCTTAACACAGAATTAGAACCACGCTGGACATTCTCTCTTGTCACCTTTTTCTTGTGTCAGCCTATGTTGTGTGTGTTTTCCGTTCACCATTAAACATCACTGTGTGACGGGTTGGCAAATCTGTTTGTAAAGGGCCAGATAGTGAATGCTTTAGGCTTTGAGGGCATATAATCTCCCTGGTCTCTGCCACTGTAGCTCGAAAGTAGCCTTAGAAAATTTGTAAATGAAAGAGCATGGCTGTGTGCCTATAAAACTTTATTGACACGAACAGGTAGGGGGCCAGCTTTGGTCACTGGCCACAGTTTGCTGGCCCCTTTCCTCATCTGTGTAATTCCCACCATGTGGTCATCAGCTAAGTCATTTAGCCAGGCCTCTGTCAAGTCTCGAAGTGGTTTCCAGCTTGGGCTTGTTTCGGGCACACTGCCGTAGGCACCCTTGAATGTGAATCTTTGGAGCCTTGGTTATTTCCTTGGGGAAAATCCCCCAAAATGGGGATGCCGAAGACTTTGGGTGTTGATAAGGAGCGCAGGTAGCCTTATCTTTATTTCTGCTAACTTCACAGAGCACGGTGTGGGCTCACACGCTTGTGCAGGGAACCCTGGTGACCGTTGGTGCCCCTTCTCTTACAGTCAGGGACAGCAGCTCAGCGAGGTGTGGCCTTGGCCTGGCCCACACCCTTAGAGTCGGGCCAGCGGGACTCACGCTGGGCTGTAGGGTCCTTTGTCTTGTCCTCAGCTTGAACTTTTTTCTCCACAGGCCGTGTGGCCCGGGCTGGCCGAAGCGGCACAGCCTACTCCTTAGTGGCCCCAGACGAGGTCCCCTATCTGCTGGACCTGCACCTGTTCCTCGGCCGTGCCCTCACCCCTGCCCGCCCCCATGAGGGGGCCTCAGGTGAGTGGAGGCCGGCGCACTGGAGCAGGAATCTCTGTGTGTCCACTGCGGAGCTCATGGTGCAGGTCGGGGAGAAGCTGTCCTGGCTTTGGGAGGAGGCAGGGCTGGATTTGACCCCGGGGTAAGAGCCCCATTATTTTAAACTCAGAATTTCACATACAAATCCAGATTTCTCATGTCTGTTGGAAAACAGCTGGGTCTGACTGCTAAGTCTGCTTTTTCCTGAGGTTGCCGTACAGGCGGTGTGGGCCATGTGCCCGGGATAGATGGGCCCCCGGGGTTCACGGCAGCCCCTGCCTCCCCTGCGCCTCTCGTCTGGCCCCTGCGGGCATCTGTTTGAGACCCTGCCCTTGACTAAGTTTCCAGGGCAGCCCAGGCAAGCAGAGGTTCATTCAGGCTGAGCTCACAGAACTTCCCCTTATTCTCTGTGGGGTGGGATTGCATGGCGTGGGCAGCGGCGATCATGGTAGCCTCCTCCCGTGGTCCTGCTGTGTGTCCAGCCCTTAGTGCACATTGTCTCCCGTGTCCATCTGAGAACACAGGGAGGGTTGCTTCACAGGTGAGGCCAAGCCACTCATCCCACATTGCTTATTACTCAGCAGGGAGGTGAGGTGGGAGCGCAGATTCAGGAGGCCAGGTGTAAATGGAGCCTGCACTCGGGGCAACCCTGCACGCATTCACTGAGCACCCCACTGTGTGCTGCATCCGTGCTTCAGAGCGTCGGGAGCACCTGCAGCTCAGCCGCTAGGCCCATTATCCAAATGCAGATTCTGGAGCCCTCGGCAGACCTCCAAGGTTGAGACCAAGCAGTGGGGGTGGGAGCGGCAGAGAGAGGGAAGGAGCCCCCACAGCAGTGTTCCAGCAGAAGCCAGCCATGGAGTAGTTATCTGTTAGGGAAAGGCCATCCTGCATTTGCCCCAGCACTAGCCAGGGTGGGCAGCATGGCCCAGGACCGGCTTGCTGCAGAGGAGGTGGGCAGCCAGGCTCTTGACCCAGCATACGGGGGCTGTATCCTGACACCGCCCTGCAAGCCAGCTGCTGGGCAACACTGGACCTCTGCTGAGCCTCAGTCTCCTCTTCTGGAATGTGGGGTTGTTGTGGGGACTCAGTGGTCTCGTGGGAGAGTCAGCAGAAAGCACGAGCGAGCGAGTGGCTTGGGCTCCGCAGGTCATAGGCCCCATGGCAGCCCCTCAACCCCGCCATTCTGGTGCAAAGTTAGCTAAAGACAGTAGGAACGGGGATAGAAAACGATCTTCAGGAAAACAGGCAGTGGCTCTTGGGTTGTAATTGTGGGTGCCCGGTCGAGCTCGGTCAAGTGGCTGGCCGGAGCAGCTGCTCCATAACTGGGGATTATTTCATGATTTGGGGGCCTGGGAGGGGAGGGCCGGCTGCGGGCCGCCGACAGACTCCATGTGTGTTGGCAGGCGCGGTCAGCGCGGACGGCGTGCTGGGCCGGGTGCCACAGAGCGTGGTGGACGACGAGGAGGGTGGCCTGCAGAGCACCCTGGCGGCGTCGCTGGAGCTGCGGGGCCTGGGCCGGGTGGCCGACAACGCTCAGCAGCAGTACGTGCGCTCCCGGCCTGCGCCCTCGCCCGAGTCCATCAAGAGGGCCAAGGAGCTGGACCTCGCAGGGCTGGGCCTGCACCCCCTCTTCAGTGAGTCCCTGCGGGGGGTGGGGGTTGGGACAGTGGGCTGCAGGTGGGCCCCCGCGGAGCCTCCCCAGCCTCAAGCCTCCTCCCCACCCCCACCAGGCTCGCACTTCGAGGAGAAGGAGCTGCAGCGGCTGAAGCTGGTAGACAGCATCAAGAACTACCGCTCACGGGCGGTGAGTAAGGGGGTGGGAGAGCCCGCGGGTGCCCGGGGGTCACGGTGGCTGCCACGGAGCCGGGACTCTGGCTGAGCTCCTGACCCCAAGCAGGACCCCAGCGGGGCTTTTCTTCTGAGCTTGCGGCTCTGCCTCACCAGCATCTCGAGAGATGCCCCTTGTTCTAGAACCGTCCCTGCTGGCCTGCAGCAGATGCCCCATGTGGTAGCCATTTCCTGCCGCTTCCAGAGGGGTAGACTGAGGCTCACAGAGGGGAGTGACGTGTGCCGGGCCTGTCAGCGGCCTGGAGCTGGCTTTCCATCACCTTTCATCCCCTCTTGACTCCCACTGGGCACGCCATCTGGGGCCTGTGCCAGGCATGCACAGAAGCACAGAAAGACCTCCCCGGGAGTGGGCGAGGCTGCCAGGCAGCCAGTATCAGGGAAGAGGAGCTGGAGAGGGTCATGGTAGCGAACACTGGTTTCAGAGCCAGGTAAACCAGGGTCAAAATGCCACTCTCACTTGTCTCAGCTGTGTGGCCTCAGGTTGGCTGCTTGCCCTCTCTGGGCCTCCTTTCTAACGGTGAAATGCAGGTAACCAGAGTACCCGCCTCATAGAGTTGAAAGGACTTGGGGAGGAATGCCATAGGGAGCCCACCAGGCTGGTGAGGGCAACGCTGGGAAGGAGGAGGCCAGTGGGTGAAGGACTCGTGTGTTCCTTCCACAGACCATCTTTGAGATCAATGCCTCCAGCCGGGACCTGAGCAGCCAGGTGATGCGCGCCAAGCGGCAAAAGGACCGCAAGGCCATCGCCAGCTTCCGGCAGGGGCGGCAGGGGCGGCAGGGGCGGCAGGAGGACACAGCTGGCCCCGCCCCAGGCTGCTCGGCACCCCAGGAAGAGAAGCCCGAGGAGGAGGAGGCAGCGGGAGAGAGTGTGGAGGTACGGGCCCCGCTCTGGCCACCCTAGAGGCTGGGCCTGGGGGTAGAGCCGGGCGGGGGGGGGCTACCCTCAGGGCTTTGAGCGGTCACTGGGGGGGGATGCCGGGACTCCGTGTCCACCTCCCGTCAGGCTCATGGTATGGCTCCAGTGTCCCTTGCCCAGAACCCCAGTGCCAGATGTTCAGGATCCAGAATCTTTAGGGTGGGCACACTGTGTATGATATGACACAACGTTGAGTCTGGGGTGTCACCGCCCTCAGATGCGTCAGGGCGTCCCCCCACAAGGTGTGCCGTGCTAGTCCCCACACCGAGGGGACAGGCCCAACCTAGGCAGCCTCATGTCGGCTCGGCTTCTGCTGCCAAGTGAATTTCAGGGAAGCTCGTTTCCAGAACCTTGTGGGCTAGGGCGCTGCGGCCAAGTGACTATGGCACAGGTCCAGGGCCCATGGGGCAGATTCAGGGCGGCGCTGGAGGGTCCCCGGTGGCGGCTGTGTCGTTGTCCTCCTCACCCTGACAGTCTCAGCCTGAGGTCGAGGGCAGGTGGACAGGGGCCGAGCAGGGACTCTTGGCAGCAGCGAAGGCATGACACAGGCAGCCTCAGACACGGGGCCTTCGTCCCGGAAGGCAGGCTGGGGGACGCGGGCACCCTGTTTGCCTGGTGGGCAGGGCCGCGCATCTACCAGGATATTCCTCTCGTATTTGATTTGCACCGAGGGCTCAGTAGCCAAAAAGTACAGGTGAAAACTCCTGGACTAGTCCGTACTGTATAGAGCAAGGCCAGGCCCAGAAAGGGGCAGGGCCTTGCCTTGGTCACACAGCCTGAGGCACCAGCCTGGGGCTGGCAAGTGGGTCTCACCCCGGTTGGCCCCCAGCCCCCTCCTGCACCCGGCCTGCTCTGCTGGGGCCGAGGTTGTCCTGCAGTGCACATGAGGAAACAGGGTGCAGATGGAAGCACCAGATTTCTAAAGTCCCGGAAGCCACTGGCCCTTAACTCTACCTGGACTGGCAAGTGGAGAGGCCAGTGGCTTCCCTGGGGGCTGTGGGTGTGACGCCGGGCCTCTGTCTGCCAGGATGTCTTCACGGAGGTCATGGGCCGGAAGCGGCCGCAGCCGGGACCCGACCGGGGAGCCAAGAGGCGGAGGGAGGAGGCCTGGCATCGGGACCAGGAATTCTACATCCCCTACCGGCCCAAGGACTTCGACAGTGAGCGGGGGTGAGTGGCTGGCTGGTCCTGGGGTGGGGCAGGTGGGGCCTGACGGGCCCTCCACTGACCCTGTGGCGTGCCCCCACCCTTCGTCTGCAGCCTGAGCGTCGGTGGGGACGGGGGGGCATTCGAGCAGCAGGTGGCTGGCGCTGTCCTGGACCTGATGGGGGACGAAGCCCGGAACCTGACGAGGGGCCGGCAGCAGCTCAAGTGGTGAGTGAGCAAACGAGCAAGTGAGCATGCACCCCTGCCTGCCCTGTGGTTCCACGCAGCAGACAGGTGGCCCCTGTCTGTCCTGACTCCCGTTTGTTCCCCTAGAGCAGGAAATATCACCAGCCCCATCTGGTTGTGTGCAGCATGGATTGTGAGCCCTCCTGTGTTGTCCCATGTGATCGCACACAGCAAGGACAGTGACCCCCCCACCACATCCTGTCCCTTGATTTGATCGTACACAACAGGGATCTTGATCCGTCTGTCCTTCCTGCTAGCTTGCCTTTCTCGACAGAGCTCATGACCCATCTCTCCCGTTTGGACTCTGGTTCCAGAGAAATGGTGTGACTCACCCAGGGTCACAGAGCCAGGAGATGGCAGAGTAGGATTGGGCACCCCCGCTAGGCCCCCAACCCTGATCCAGACCCCCCAATTCCCAGTGACCCCCACACCACCTTTTGAGACCTGGGCTGCCAGGAAGAGGGGAGGCGGGTAGGGAACGGGCCTTTATTGAGCACTTGCTGTATGCCAGACATGGGCGGGCTGCTTCCCTTGAGGGGGTGGGGAGGAAACAGGCGCCCCAGGCCACCTCCTGCCACATCAGCTCTCCCAACTCTGTCTCCCGCAGGGACCGGAAGAAGAAGCGGTTTGTGGGACAGTCGGGACCGGAGGAGAAGAAAAAGATCAAGACCGAGAGTGGCCACTACGTCAGCAGCTCCTACAAACGGGACCTGTATCCGGAGGGGCGGGGCCCGGGGGCGGGGCCGAGTACCCCCTAGAGGCGGGCGTGGGGTGGGGGCGGGGCCCAGCGGCCTCTGGCCCTGCATACTCTGGATGTGGGGGCGTGGCCGAGCACCTTCTGTTGCCCCACCCCCTGGAGGTGGCACCTGTATCCGCTGGAGGGGGTGCGGGACCTGCTCCCCGCCCAGTGGTGTCTAGGGCATCATGGTCCCGCACACAGCCTCCTTAACGCGCGGCTTCCCAGCTACCAGAAGTGGAAACAGAAACAGAAAATCGATGATCGTGACTCAGAAGACGAAGGAACATCCCACCAGCGAGGCCCAGAGCGAAGAGGTGGGAAGCGGGGCAGAGGCCAAGGTAATTAATGGTCCTCAAAGCAGTTTGGCACGTGGTCCATTTGATCATCCAGGGACTTGGTTCTCTCTGGTGGGGCTGAGCCCTTCCGCGGTGCCAGGCTGCTGTGGGATTTGAACGGGCTCTGTCCATTCCCCTCAGCGTCTCTCCTCTCTGGCTAGGTCTCTTCCGTTTCTCCCTGTCTGTCTGTCTCTGTCTCTGGTTTTTTTGGAAGCTTCCTCTCTGTCACTCCCTAGGCTCTCTCTCTCTGGGTCCCCGTTCCTCTCTTTCCCTCTCTGGCTCTGCATCCCTGTCCCTGCGCCTCTCTCTGCCTTTCCCCTCATTCTCTCTTTGTCTCCTTTTCTTCCCATCTCTCAGACTTTCTGTCTTCATCTGTCCCCCTCATCATTTCTCTTCCTTTCTCTACACACGCGTCTCCCAGTCTTTGTTCTCTCCTTCCCAGTCTCTCTTTCCCGTCTTGGTGTCTCTGTCTCTGTCTCCATCTCTCTGTGCCTCTGTGGACGTGCCCTGCCTGGGCCTCGCACCCCTCACGGCTCCGCTCCCGGTTTTACCCGCTGCTCTGGGCCTGCTGGGCCAGGGGGTGAGGATGGCCTGTGGGCTTCAGGAAGGAGCAGCCATTCTCCGTCTGTGCTTTGTCCTCCTTGGAGGTGATGGGTCCCTGTCAGGCGCCCTGGCCCCCGTGGAGACAGCTGGGGCTGCCTTCATGATCATCTGTGTGGGAGCTCTGAAAAGGTCACTCTTGCGGGAGGGGAGGAGCCAGGCAGGGAGAGGGAACGTGGTAGAGGAGGGGGCACCCAGGACTTAGTGGGGAGCCAGGGAGGCAGGGGTAAGTGCCCTCCCAGAGATCTGGGAGAGCAGGTTGGGCTGGGGCCACTGACGTCTGCTGCCGCCGCTTTGCTCTGTCACCTTGGGCACATCCCTTCCCCTCCCTGACCTCTCTCCTGCCCGAGGAAGCTAAGCTAACAGCCTAGGGCGTGCAGTCCGTGGAGGCAGGGATTGGAGTCTTTCTCAGTCAGTGCTGGGTCCCCAGTGCCCGGCGTAGAGCACATGCTCAATAAATCTCCATTGGATGGTCTGTAACCGTGATAGTGCCCTTACGAGGCCCTTACTCTGGGCTGGCTCTTGTTTTGAGCATGGTAACACGCCTCCTCACCTCCTCCTCACTGGGACCCGTGAGGTAGGTGCTGTTATCTCTGATTCAGAGTGGGGAACAGAGGCGCAGAGAAGTTAAGTGACTTGCTCAAGGTCCGAGAGGTCATGGCTGGGATTTGAACCCCGGCAGTGTGGGCTTGAGGGTCCATGCTGTTGACCACGACAGCAGACTACAGAAGCTTTATTGAGTACCTACAATGAGCCAGACCCTGGGGCCACAGCAGTGAACCCAGAACGGGAGCAGGGTGGTGGTGGGGGGAGGGCAGTCTGGAGGCTCCTGGGAGTGGACTGGAAGGCTGAGCTCCCTGCATCCCTGTCCTGGCAGGTGCGTCCCAGCCCCGCACCCCAGGCGCCCCTGCAGGCCGCGTGCGCTCAGAGCTCAAGACCAAGCAGCAGATTCTGAAGCAACGGCGCCGAGCGCAGAAGCTGCGCTTCCTGCAGCGAGGGGGCCTGAAGCAGCTCTCCGCCCGCAACCGGCGCCGAGCCCAGGAGCTGCAGCAGGGCGCCTTCGGCCGGGGCGCCCACGCCAAGAAGGGCAAGATGAGGAAGAGGATGTAAGGCACGTGACCCAGCCCCCTGGCTCCTCACGTGGTGCAGGGGTAGACGTCAGCAGACGTCCCCAAGTGCCACCGCGTGCCTGGCCCTGTGCCGGCCACTGGCGGAGCTCCCTGCAAAAGAGGGGTGCTGCCTGGCCACACAGGGCAGTGGCCGCCTCTGCCCGAGGTGGAGCCTTTCACACAGGGTCTTCAAGGGCGCGTGGGGGCCGGGGGGTTGCCGGCAAGGTCAGGACGGCCAAAACCCAAGGTGGCCACTCAGCTGCTGCTGCTTCCATGTGTTCTGGGCAGTTCCTGAGTTCAGAGGTGGTGGCCACTCGGGGCCGAGCCCTTAGTGCCTAAGGCCCAGTGATGTATTTTTAATGTAATAAACCTTTATTGAGCACTTCGAGTGGACGGGGAGTGCCGTCTACCCAAGGAGCCGGGAGGGGCGGACCCAGGTATTAAAGCCCCAGCTGGTGTGCCCGCTGAGTCCAGAGAGTGGGGGCTGGGGAGGGAGGAGGGAAGTGGGGTGTGGGGCAGAGGGCTCAGCGGCTCCTCCTGAGCCTCAGCGGCAGTGGAGGGGTTCACATGGCCCCACCACACTCCCACCACACCCGCGGAGGTGAGAACCTGGTCTTGGCCTTTGCCCTGCAAGCCCTGTCCTCCCCAGCCCCAGTTTGGGGTCCTGGGAAGGTCAAGGGCAGCCTCCAGCAGTTGGATTCTCAGGCCACGGATCACCTGTGCCACTCCACAATAGAGGAGGCCTTGTGAGCAGGCACCCCATGTGCGGGTGCTTGCTTTGTGGCCCTCTTGTTGGTCCTATTTTACTTTACTTACCAAGCACTCATCTAGAATTTACCAGAATTTGCATCAGGCTTCATTCCAAACCCCTGACACACATCGGCTTGTTCAATGCCATGAGTGCACTGAGAGGGAGGACCTGGTCCCATGCCATGTGGTGGATGAGGGATTGGTGCCCCCCCCATGTGGCCCACATTTATTTAGTACTTGCTGTATGCCCCTCCTGTACTCCCCACAGCAGTCTGAGCAGGCAGAGCCCTCCCATCTCTCAGGTGAGGACCACTCAGCACACACCCCGCAGGACATATGCACCTCCTTTCCGGGGGGGCCCCCTACCCCCTGCCCACCTGGGTCAGGGCTGGGAGGCAGGTGTGGGCTCGGCCTGACGAAGATTGGCCAGCATGGCGGAGAGGTCCAGGATGAACAGCTTCACCTGTGGGTCCCCAACACAGCCAGTCACATCCCAGCCCCTGAGTGTCCAGTTCCACTGTCCCCACAACCCAGGATGCTGTAGAGCAGGGGTTGGGGGTGAACACCCGTATTAAAAGCAATGATGGTGGTTCCCAGGGGCCAGCCAACCTGCCCTAGACTGTTCTGGGTCCTTCGGGCCTCAGTCCAAGCTTCCCAAATGGTCTGTGAGCAGACACCCTCAGTTTCCTAGCTGGTATCACCTGCATTACAATTAAGTGAGTATTTTCACTTCAATTAATTCATCCCCCCCCTTTTTTTAATTGGATCAATCGTATTCATTGGTGTTTGACCTGCTCTCATCTCCATGGGTTAACACTCCCATATTTCCTTTTAATTAACTTATTTATTGATATGAACTTAATGCCCACAGGTCCACTGCCAAGAGCCAGAACTGGAGGCCAACTTACCCTTGGGCTCTCCCTTCACATTTGTCACTGAAATAAACATTTGAGAGGGAAACTATATTTCTAACAAAAATAGAATTAAGTTACCCCTTGTCATAAGTGGAGGGGCAGTGGAAAAATCCTACAACAAACATGAAACCCGGTTTCACTCTTGCATTCTGGCCCACTGTTGCCTACAGGGGGTGTGAGGCCCCGGGCCCAGGCCCAGGGAGCACTGCAGGGGTTAAAGGCACTCTCGCCCCACACTAAGTCTTTCTGCTTGGTAGGATCAGGGTCGGTTGAAAAGGGACAGGCTTTTGCCCACTCCATCATACTGAGCCTCTGTCTCTCCTGGAGTTGTCTTGTGTAGTTCAAGGTGCTGGGCCACACTTGGGAGAATAGTGGTGTCCACAAATCTGTCCTACTCAGCATGTGGCACAAAGGTAGGCTCCCGGGGTCCGAGTTCTTAGTGTTTGGTTGGGATCCAGAGTGTTGGGCACAGGACAGGAGTGCCAGGGGCAAGTGTGCCTTTTTTTGTGTTTCTTCCACTAAAGGGGACCGTGCTTTGGGTCCCCATTAGAAGCAACAGAGGTGTCCGAAGTCAGAAACCCCCTCCCTCCGTTGTAAACCATGTCACCCCTTCTACAACCTTGCAAACCTGAATGACTTGGTCCACAGTGACATTTGTGATGCACTTGTGCAGGAAGAAAGACAAGGACCCAGCCCCACCCTCTCCCTCCCTAGGGAAGCTGAGGCCTGTCCGTGCAGGGAGCAAGAGGGTCAGGGATTAATTAAAGGTGGGTCTCCACCTGGTTTCTTGTCGATGTTGTCAGTTTGTGCTGTTTGACCCTGGGACAAAGGACAGACTCTTGTCATGAATGTGCGGTGTCGCCAGTGCACACCCCAGGCCCTAGGCACAGGTGAGGGCGCTGAGACCCAGAGAGGAGAGCATGGCTTCCTTGTGGCCACGGAGCAGATGCCCCTCAGAGCCAAGACCCAACCCAGGCCTCCTAGGCAGGGTTCCCAGGTGGCCATCGAGCCCAGATCTGGGGTGCTGGCATCATGCTCTCGGCTCACGGAGGGTCACGCTTAACCCAGAGTAGGTGAGATTTCCTGAAGCTTTGGGGGTTGGAGGGGACATGGCGAGGGAGCGCACCTGCTCCAGCTGCCCTTCGGTGTCCTCGACGGCCAGGGCAGGGGGCTGCCTCTTGTGCTGACGCACTAGCTGGAACAGGTTGAGCGCCGCCATTCTGGTGCGGCCCAGGAGAAGGGTCTTCTCAGCCGCGGTGTTCTGGATCTGAATCCACTTGGATTCCTGAAGAACACCCCGCCCCCTTCCAGATCACGCTTGGAGCCTGCTGAGGAGGGCTGGGGCCTGCCCACTTCCCCTCCAGTCGGGGGCGCATGGGCGCCTCCGGGAGAGGAACGGGGGGTCAGGTTCTGCTAGGACTGGCCCCCTGTGCCCTAAAGCGCTTTCTGACGCTTGCACCTGCCCGTTAGCGCCGCTGCCCCTCTGGGCTAAGCATCGCTCCTTCTGTTCTTTCTCGGGCGACGGGAGGCTGGGGGCACCTCCTCCCGGCGGGCCGTACCCAGCGCAGCGTGCGCTCCCTCGCAGCCTCCAGGCGCTCCAGCAGCTGAGCTCGCCGCTGGCCCTGCGCCAGCAGCTCGTCCTGCCCGGCGTCCCGCAGCCGCTGCAGCCGCGCGCGCGCCTCCTCCAGCTCGGCCCGCCGCCGGCGCTCCGCGAGCCGCAGCGCCGCCTGCATATCGGCCAGGCCGTCGAAGCGCGCCACCAGCTCGGGGACCTCCTGGAACTGGGGTAGGGTCAAGATGGGGTCCTCTCGCCACCTGGCCCTCGGGCGCCTCCTTGGAGGGCTACTCCCTCCCCTCCCCACTCCGGCATAAAGCCTAGCCCAGCCTCACTCCCTGTGATTGTTCCGTTCAGCTGGTATTTATTGAGTGCCTGGATACACCCCCTCCCCCTTCGCCTGTGTGCCCCTGAGGGGAAGTTACCCTTGTGAGCCTCGGTTTCCCCATTTATAAAATGGGATAGGCAAGAGCAGGACTCACTTCACCGGGCGTTTGGAGAAGTCAAGAACAAAGCTTGTCCCTGGCATACAGTCAGCGCTCAGTAAGTGGTGATTGCTGGCATACAGTCAGCGCTCCAGTAGTGCACACCCGAAGCCGTCCCAGAGGCTACCCGACGCTGCACGGTGGCGCCTGAGCCCCCAAACCTCCTGCAGGGCGCTCACCTCGGGCAGCTGCTCCAGCACTTGGCCCAGCAGGCGCGCGCAGGGCTCCAGGCGCTCCAGCCGGCGCTGCAGCCGCGCGCGCTCCCGCCGCAGCTCCTCCAGCTGGGCCCGAAGCCGGAGCGCCTCGGCCTCCCGGCGGCTCGCCTGCAGCCGCTCCTCGGCCGCCCTCCGCAGCGCGCGGCCGCGCCGGGCCTCGGTGTCCTGGGGAGGCGGATGGAAAGGAGGCGACTGCCCTCACGACTTGGGAGCCGCCGGGGCTCCCCGCTTCCACCCGCCCCAACACTGGCACGCCGCGCGGGACGTAGCAAACAGATGGCCCGTGGGCAGATTCAGCCAGTGTCTGATTTTCGTCCGTCACTTCTCCCCCATGCTTTTTAAAAACTCAAATGCATCAGGCAGTGCGTGCGTATTTCCTACTACTCCCTCTTGTATTAGTAAAGCCCACTTTTAAAATTCACATGCAAGTCTGGCCTTGTGACCCAGTGACCTGCCTCCCCTCCCCCAGCCGTCTGCACCTACCCGCAAGAACTTGTCAAAGCGCGCAAAAGACCCCTTTAGCTCCCGCTCCTTCTGTTCCAACTGTTCCCAGCGCTGTTTCCGGGCTGCCATCATGGTCTGGCACACCTGGGGAGAGGTGAGGAGTGGGTGTCTGTGTGTGTTTGGGGGTTCAAGTGATCCAGCACCTTCGGGTTCATACTTCGGTCATCAGTTGTCCCTGATCTTGTCACTACACCCCTGCTCAAATCCACCCATGGCTCTTCCCATGTGTGATGAAGCCTCAGTGCCCTCTTGTAGCCCCTGCATGCCGCTGTCCCTGTCCTTCCTTCTGGTCTCATCTCACCCCCTTCCTTTAACACTGTCTTCCAGACACTGGTCCTCCTGTGTTGTGTCCTTGCCTTACAATCTTTTTTTTTTTTTTAAGATTTTATTTATTTATTTGACAGAGAGAGAGAAAGAGAGACAGCGAGAGAGGGAACACAAGCAGGGGGAGTGGGAGAGGGAGAAGCAGGCTTCCCACGGAGCAGGGAGCCCGATGCGGGGCTCGATCCGAGATCATGACCTGAGCTGAAGGCAGCCGCTTAATGACTGAGCCACCCAGGCGCCCCTGCCTTACAGTCTTCGTATGCGCCGTTCCCTCTGCCCCCTTCTCGCTCCTCACCCCACCCCACCCCCTTTGCTGGATAAGCTGACTTGCCCTTCCCCCATCCCCAGACATGACTTCCTTCAGGAAGCCCTCCTTGACCACCTCTTTGTGGAGATAGGGGCTTCCTCGGGGTTCCCACAGCCTTCTCAGTGCTTCCCCACCTGATAGCAGTCTACACCTGGACACTTGTCTGTCTCCTTCTTTAGACTGTGAGCCCCATGGAGGGGGACTATGGTGAGACGTCCAGATCCCAGTGCAATGCCGTGCACATAGTAGGTGCTCAGTGCACATTTATTTGCACCAACTGATCTCATTTGATCATCGATGAGGAAACCAAAGCTCAGAGTGGTGAAATGACCCT